AAGTGCAAAGTACCTGTCCATTGGCAGAGGCTTGGCAAGGAGGCTGCTGATCACTGCCTCTAGGTGAAACACGGCAAGAATGCCAACGCCTTCCAACAGGAAGCCTCGCATGGACCTCTCCTGCATGGTTGGCATTCGAATAAAGATAGTGGACAGGATGTCTGGCACCTGGAAGGAAAATAGCAAGAACAAGGGTCCCTTTCTCATTCAGCCAGCACAATCCAAACCAATCCCTCCCGCAGTTTGGCAATTTGCTGCCATCTTAGAAATTCCTTGCTTTGAGGGACCAGTGTCCAGACACTGCTGCCTCCGGCTGATCCTAAGAAGTGAGCACGTCCCTATGCCCCTACTTGGGGTGAAAATGGACACCATGACATCTGGGCAGACACCAACCAGCCTGCACACCCTCAGCCTTTCCCTCACCCATTTGCACACACCTACAATCTAATTGCATGTGCCACCTGGGACCTATTTCTGCCTGACCTGCTCACACAAACACCCCAACAAATATCAACATCTGGGGGTGGTTTTAAGAAGCTAATTTTGACCTTTTGCCTGTGTGGATGCTCAGCTCAGGACCAACAAGCCAACGTCAGAACCCCTGTGAGAATCCCTGGGACCGCGAGCAAGATGATTGTAACTGTAATTTTTCCAGGTGAGACCAGCTCTGCTGGAACTGCACACTGGAGTTCCCACTCCTCATTTCTAACTGCACCTCCCTATTCTGCACATGGCCAGGCCTGCGGGACAGTAGGTCCAGCTGCCCATAGCCAGTCCCATCCAGAACAGGGAGAGGGTGGAGGCTGCAGTATCTCTAGCATACATCCTTTCCTGCGCCCTGTTCCCAACCCTGCAGAGAGGAGCAGGATGGAAGGAGCATTTCACATAGCCTCTACCAAGGCTGGGAAATGCCTGAGGATACAGAACCATCTCTAGGTCCTGCCTTGCTGTGGACCCTCTGCATGGTGTGACACTGAGGGAAGTGTGCATCTGTTCCTCATGCCTAAGCATGGTGTTCCAGCCCAGCCGCAGCCGGGTGCCTCAGATTCCTTGTTGCCCTCTCCTGCTGTATTTGCCTCACAGTCTATGTTTCCAAAGCTTCTGGGGCTGAAAACTCTTATCAATAACCTAGTCACTGAATCCCCATCTTGTCTTCCTGTGCTCTCTCTCTTGGATGCAGCTGATCTGCTCTTCCCCATCTCTGGCTAGTAAGGGAAATGGAACTTGCTTCATGCCCAGGGATCAACACTAAGATTGCTGTTCACTCCACATGAAAGCAGTGCTTGAAAAGCATAAGGCAAATGCAGAAAGCCTCCTCAGCTTCAATTTTACCTCATCCAGAAGGGCATCTCCATTCTCCCTCAGGAGTGCACAGCACCAGTTGCCTGCTGCTGTGGCGCACGTGGGGCTGGTAGAAAGCATGCCATCCATTATTGTCTCCACCAAATCAAGGGCCTGGTTGGAGGGCAAGAATTTGCCAATGACCTGGAGACAAATAGAAAGAAGGGAAATTGCACTGAACCCCAGAGTTCAAGACTGATATTAAAGAGCGGTGCTGTGCGTAAGCGTGCACAGCACCAGTTGCCTGCTGCTGTGGCGCACGTGGGGCTGGTAGAAAGCATGCCATCCATTATTGTCTCCACCAAATCAAGGGCCTGGTTGGAGGGCAAGAATTTGCCAATGACCTGGAGACAAATAGAAAGAAGGGAAATTGCACTGAACCCCAGAGTTCAAGACTGATATTAAAGAGCGGTGCTGTGCGTAAGCTTGTGCCCTACGGCGACATGGTGCATGTGCAAGAGGTGAATCCTGGGTTTGAACGTTCCACCGGTCTTCAATGGAGAGAGCATCATTAGACAACACAACACAAACACAGCCAAGCTGCACCCCAGGGTAAGTTAAAACGGGCACACAAGGAGACCAAGTCCTGGCTGAGGCTCTCACTTGGATGCTGTACTGACAAAGGTTTGTTCTTCTGTGCAGGGACAGAACTATCTACCAGACTTTCTAATCTTGCTCTGACTTATTCTTTCTACATGGACATGGGCAAACAGCAGCAAACAGTGGGTGAACAATAAGTGTCTCAAATGCCTCCCCCATGCACTCCAAAGAAAGAGACAAACCATGTGTGAGCAAAAGAATAGACAATGAAGGACGCCCAGCTCCCAGACTCTCCACATCAGCTTCTTGAGCCACTGACCTTCGCCATTTGGCAGGATGATGTCAGCACAGCCTCAGGGCTGGCCCGTTTTAAGCCCTCCCGGAGACCTCTCAGCTCCTCCTCTGCTGCACCCATTGTCCTGGACTGGTCTGGAATGAAAATAAGGAGGAAAAAGTGCTGTAATGATGTCTGAAACAGAACCGTGGCTCCATGGAGGAACCATGTGCAGTGTCATGGGCAGTGTGGTCCAAGGGTGATGTTTAAGGTCTGAGTGACTTCAGTGGGGTCAGAGGTGCAGCGGCAGCAGAGCTGCTACAATCCTCTCCCCATTCCTGGCTTCTTTTCACACTTCCCAAAGGAGGGTCAGGCCTTTCACACCACACAACTCTTCTCTCCTAGGAAGAGATCTTCCAAGGGCCAGTCGTGGCCCTTTTGAGGTGCTTTTCAGGTGTCATTAGACTAGCAGTGAATCAACAGAGCAGAGGAGTAGGCATTACCAGAGGGAGAAAAGGGGCAGACTCACTTGCATCTACTCAGAGTGCCCTTACCTTGTAGCTGCAGAAGACAGAAAATGCAGTCGGCGGCCCACAAGTGGGATGTGGCGAGAGAGGTGCAAGTGTACGGTGCCAGCAGCCCCAGCAGGGACCCAAAATGCTCCAAAGGTTCTTGTAGCTGAGAAAAAAGGAAAAAGAAATTAATGACATGTGCTTGGATCTGGCTAGGGTGATATTCAAATTTATGATCCTGGGAAGATGAAAACAGGAATGCATCCCTGTGGGACCCTGTCTGCTAGGGAAGCTTTCTACATCTCAGGGTGAGGCTGCCATGAGGACATCAAGGCAAGAGTCAGACCATACTTACTCTGCAATAGACTGTCTCCTGATAGGCGACAAGGAGCTGGGAGCTGGCCTGCAAGGCCCTATCTCTCTCCCACTCCTTGTCAGAGAAGATCCACGGCTCAAGCAGCTGTTGGGACAGCAAACTACTGTCAGAGGAACCTTTAAAACAGCTCAGAGGAACCATTTCAACAGCAGACATCACCATCAGCACTGAAATCCCTCCAAGCAATCTGATTCTTTTATCATCTGGTACATCCCAGGCAGACTTTAATTCCCCTGAAGCCAGAGGAGCTGTTGAGTGACCCTGGCACAAGAAGATGCAGCTTCTAGGGATGTCAACGGGATGCAAGGGAATTACCATGCATTGCCTCAAGGACACTTTGGGGACTCCCCTCTCATTTGCCCCGCCGAGGGAAACCTTCCTCCCTGTTTTTCGCCCCACTCCCCCTTCCCCAGTAAGAGAGCTCTGCCTGCTCCTGCTGGCTACTCACATGGAACATTTCCATGAACCATCTCTCAGTGGGGTCTTCTTCAAGGAGGCCCCTCATGAGCTCACCCAAGGCCTGCATGGACAACTTGTGCAGTGCCTGCAAGCAGGAGATAGAAGAGGGAAGCTCAGGGCCAGTGGGAGCGCGTGTCACAAAACCCAGAACCATTCTAGGGAGGCCAGGGGTGACTGCCAGGACGCAGAGCAGGCTAGGGAGCAGGTCCCAGCAGGTGATGCCAGAACTGTCTAGGTGTACCTGTATTTGGACAGAGTCCTGAGAGGTCTCACCCTCTTCCCTCAGCTCCTGAACAGCTGGAAGAGGCAGCAGGCATTTTAAGCAGTCATCCAGGATGTTTCTG